GGTTTGGGGGGGGTGGGGGGGTTAGGGTTTAGGGTTTAGGGTTTAGGGTTGAGGGTTTAGGGTTCAGGGTTTAGGGGTGGCGTGATTTCGGGCACTTCTGTGCGCCTCGCAAGCGCCTATGCCGGGCTCTACCACGAAGCTGTAGAAGCCGCCAGGAACCGCTAGCATCCCAGGCCTGGCGTCTGACCACGGAGGCGTGGGAAATTGCAGACCCAGGTCTGCAAAAGGTAGTCCTAAACAAGATGCAGAGGTTAGGGTCGACGCAGCCACTATTTACCATCATCACCATCACTCATCACTGCCAGTCATTACTACCGAGGCATGAGCACATTTCATGGCACGAATCTATCCTGACCTCCAACGACCCCCAGCTCCTGAACTCCAAAACTGCAAATCTAGACTCTCACGAACTTCCCTAGGGCTTACAAAAGAAGCCCCTGTAGAACTCTTCGAAAGCCCCATGAAACTGTGAGAAGACCGCTACGAAGCCCTCTGAGATCCTTGCAACATCCTTATAAAACGCCTTGTAGGATGGCTCTGAACCCTAAACCCTAAACCCTAGAACCCTAAAACCTAAAGCCGAAACTGGGTGCACGGCACATCACCCAGCTCTGATGCGCTGGCCGAGGCGAGCAGTCTAGCAGTCCTGGCAAGGGCCACAAATCCCTGGCCTCGTCTTTAAGGTCTCAGGTTTAGGGTTTTCAGGGTTGAGGGTTTGGGGTTTAGGGCCGTTTAGGGTTGAGGGAAGGCAGACTCGTCTGGTATTCACTCTATTGAGGGGCAATGAAGAGCGATGAGAGTCATGTAACAATCAAAAAAACACGAACACAACCATATGAGTCTGAGCAGGGAATCAAACTACTTGCACAAACAACAGCGACAATGGCCAGTTGTTCGGGGGTTGCCCGGCGAAGGTTGAAGCTTCAAGCCGCTACGGCTCAACATCAGTATGCTTCTGTTTCAACACGCCGCTTGGACGTATAGTTTGTTCAGCTCCCGTGCCCCACAACATCTACCGGACACGCCACATGCAACCTCGGCACCGTTCTCTTTTCTCTATCTATGTACATGAGACAGCCCTGCACAATGTCCTTCCTGCACTTCTCAGTCGTGCACCTTCAACCCCGCGCAGGGAGAAATTCTAAAGCTTGATTCCTGACTCAAGTAAAGCACCTGCGCCCCCGTGACATCCAAGGAGATTCGCAATGAAGGCCTGGCAGGGTTCATACTTCTGAAGCCGGGCTCCATCACTAGTGCAGCAGACCTCCACCACCTCCAGCAAGGAAGCCTGGACAGTGCAGGCACACTGCCACTTAGAGGATCATGGGACTTAGTAAGTAAGGTTATAAGTACCCTAATTGGGGTTATAATTATAGTTACCTTATTTATAACCCTAGTTACTAAGTCCCATGATCCTCCAAGCAGTGATGCCAAACTTGGCAGCAGGCCTCGAGGAGGGACCAGGAAAGACCCTCCAGGCGTACCGCCTGCCAGTTCAATCTAGTCGCCCGTTGCAGCTCGCAGTCGCAAATTAGGAGTGCATGTCGTCACTGCGGGACCTTAGCTGGATCTTCGACTCCCAGGATGTGGAATGCCTTTGCTGCACATCCCCGAACCTACTCTTCAGACTCTGCAACCGACAGACAACCGCCACGAAAGAAGCACTCTCCAGAATATCGGCACAACTATGTCCCCTCGATTGTTGCTCAGGTGAAGACTTCGTGTGTTCGAGTTTAAGGGCACCGAAACATACCGAAAGACTTCCTCTCGCCGGGGCCAACTGGCTACTGGCATCGACAGTTTTGCTCATTCGTAGGGCCCGAGTTCCTGGAGCCACCAGGTCACACTGTGAAGACGGGCCCTTGAAGCCTCTGGCAGAATCTGGAGCTCTACACGGCATGATGTTTGCACAATCATCTCTGGTGAACTGACGAGTGCTGCGTTTTTAGCGCTTCATCAGGAGTTGTTGTTCTGTAACGCCTGCGGAGAACTGCACGACCGACTAGACAGCAAATGTTGTCCACAGTGTACTATCTCACTATTATCATTGTTATCATTATAATTATGGTGTTCGCCGTAGTATTGCTATTGTTACAAATTACTATTAGTTGCTGAGGATGCCTGGGGCCGGCACGTTACTTTCCACAGTCCTGCAAAAGGAGCTCTTGAGACGTGTCTCGGCCGGCCGAAGAAGGGAAATCCGAGAAACACCCGGGCTGCCCGGCGCCAGTCTCTCAGTCTCCGTCCTGTCTTCTGGGCCACGAGGGTTTGTGATCTTCCGTCGCGCCCTGCGCAGCAAAGCCACTTCGAAGGCCAAGCCTGAGAGAGCAGCTCCCCCGGCACGGGAGAAAAAGGACCGCCGGGTGAAAGTCTTAGGCCCAAGCCTCCTGCGATGAGATCACGGGGCTCCTGAATCAGTGCAACTAGCTGAGATCCAGCATGCAAGTAGAGTCTTGGACCGAAAACGACAGAAAGTCGAAAAAGTCGAACAAGTCCTGGAATCCGTGCAAAACCACCAGCAAGAGACGAAGGATTGCTAGTCGATGCTCGAGGGCCAAACCTCAAAGGAACCAGACTTCAGCCGCACACCGCCCCCCCACTCTGCCTTCTACGACCTTTGTGGATGTGCCAGGCCCCCGGCTGCTCGAGCTCGCTTGGAGCAGCAAGCAGCCTTTGAGGCACTGTAAGGCACTGTAAGGCTGCAATGCCGTCAGGTGCAGGATCGGCCATACGCCATGGAGCCGACTTTAGACTTCCAGCGTGAAAGCTTGCCAACCGTGCCAGGCGAGCTTGCGGGAGTGCGATCGCTCTGTCGGCTCAGACCAAGTAGCCAGTACGCCTTCGTTTGCCAAGCAGAGGCTCGACTGCAAGCAGACAGGACTATGCACTGTGAGCGTCCAACTCGAGATCCTGCCAGCCCTTCTGAAGATTTCTGCATGGGCCTGGGCTTGAGGCACGCTTGTCCAGGGCCAGCCTAGAGACTGGCGCAAGGTTGAGGGCTGCAAAACTAAAGTCGAGCCTGAACGACTCGAGCTGGAACCCTGCAGCTTTCAAAGTGGCCACATCCTCGGAAAGCGAAGAACGCTGGACATTGGCTACAGCATGCTACAGCTGGAGCCCTGCCGGCTCCTAGTCCTAATTCCTAGCCCTCTCAGGTTGCAGCATCACTGCCCAAGCGGACCCTCCGGGTGATGCCGCAGCGCGCTTCCAACACAGCGAGCTCCTCCGCGAAAGGTAGAAGCTGAAGGAAGCCAAAGGACAGGGAAAAGGAGGAAAGGCAGTGGAGTCAGTGGAGGCCTCCTCATCGACCAAATGCAGCACCGCAATCCCGCGCTGAGACAATGAGCCTGTCCACTCCTGTTGAATTGGCAATGGAAGGGACTTTCAGCGCAGAGCCAGCCTCTAATCTCATAAAGACAAGCACAAGCCTCGTGGACGTGTGCTGCACATAGAACGAGCCGAATGCCTGCCTGGGATATGCTATCAGCATCCATCAGCAGAAAATCTGCACGAACGATGCATTGAGCACTTGCAGTCCTGCCAAAGTTGTTCCGTGGCCACTACCAATCGTTTCCCGAGCCTGCAACGACATGTTGGAACTTGCCAGAAACATACAGCCGACTCAACCGAAAATGAAGACGTCCTGTCAAGGGCAACAGCTGGCATGGCGACACGAACCTTAACTGCTGAGCTCGAGTATAGTCATACTGCTTTCGAGTGTCCTACAGTCTCGGCTTGTAGCTGGCAGGGGTGCAACGTCGTCGTCCAGGATGACGGCCCGGCCCTGACATTCTCTCGGCATGCTCGACATCGCCAACCTTGAACCGAATTCGTGGGAAAAACCTGGACCTGCCTCGACTTTATTGCTGCAAATACCGGGGCTCATGCACGCCAGAAACAACCACTGCTCTCTCGACCCTTGCTGAAGAAGCGCTGCCTTCCGGCATTGCACAGGCAAGGCTTACACAGGGTGCGTCACACATCGGCACCAGCAAGGACTGTTGCACAAAATATCGCACCTGTCGTCTCTTGCATCGATGGACCCGCACTGGGCACCTGTTCGCACGTCGTTCAGCTCTACGACGCTCAGTCATGATCTTAAGTCAGAGTGCTGAGAACGAGGCTTTAACAAGCTCCCCACTCCGAAGGGACGCGGCCGCCGAAGCAACTTGCTTAGGCTGAACAACGACTTCTTCTGCAACTGCAGCCTGCTGCCAGTGGTACAAGTCTGCTGCCGCACGTCTCTGCTGTGCCAGCACCTCCTGTACAGACAGCTCAATCATGCCTTGTCCCCGTCAGGAGGGAGCGAGCAGTTGTCACAGAGCCATCGCCAACCTTAAGCATCAGTCCGACTTGGTTTTCGGTGCCAAGCGGTTAAGTCTTGGAAACACTCCCAAGCCGGATTTTAAGTCGGGTGGCACGCTCTTGACAGAGCTCCACAGACCTTCGGTCTCCCAAATTGGTGCACACTGCGAACCAAAAGCAGGCTTCCTGACGCCTCCGGGGGGAAATTCGCGCCGAAGAAGGTTCGTGCCAGGTCAAAGAAGCGCTTCTCTGTAGACGTATCTGTTCAGCGTTGTCTCTGCCTTCTCCGAACGGCTTCTGAGCAGACTGCCCGGAGTCACACGAACCTGCTGACCGTCGAAGGCCCTGTAGCAGCTCTGAGGCGTCTTCTCGCAGCACAACTGCCTTCTGCGAGAGTCTTCGCACAAACCAAATCTCACAAGGAAGCAGGTTGCCTCAATGTACGATAGGCAATACTCCAAATCCTCGAAAAATGGCTCGGTGCAACGAGAGCTCCCCTATGGCTAGAGATCACAAGGGCTGCAGTGGCCGCTCCTGTCGACGCGCTTTGCCCTCCCGCAGCCAAGAGCTGCACACTCGGACAGCACCCGCAAGAAGCAATGCCTGCAACGCACAAAGCCCGGACCATGGGCCAAGATTATGGGCCATCCGGCTAAGGCACGCAGCAACGCCTGCAAGCGCAACAGAGCAACTGAGAGGCCGACAAGTGTGCCTGCTCCATCTCCCACGTCCTGGACAAAAGCGATGAACATCAACCCTCGTTAGCGAACTGAACCCCAAAAATAATGCTGCTGTTGGAAGTCGTTCGCGTCCTGCGCAAACTTGCAGACGTGGCGCAGGACGACCTCCAAGTACCAATGTACTATTTTGGTATAATATGATAGAACATCATACACACATACCATAATATACTGCCAGCAAAGGTACTATAAGTACACTACAAAAGATTAACCGACTCGGTGCCTTGGCGATGGGAGAGCCAGGCCGAGCAAGCTCCAGAATCCTTGCAGCCTGCCGTGAGCAACACGGACTGTGCTGTGTGTTTCATCTTGATCATCCCTAGCCCTCCAGGTACCTAAATATGTAGGGCCCTAGGGGCTCTAGTATATACCCTTTATAGCAGGTACCTGGAGGATTACTCCTCTTGTTGGGGCTCACGCGGAATTGGTAACCAACTTCTGTCTCTCTGTGACGATCAGCTGATCCTTGCCGCAGGGCCCATACCTGCTTAGGAGGGGCATTCGCACGTGACTAGTGCAGTGTGTGGCAGTGAAGAAAAGAAGGTCACGAGATTCTCACCGCTGCGGCGATGGCCTGGAAATTGCGATCGGGGTACGGAAGGTAGTGTGCGAGCTGTTGCAAAACGTCGCGGAAACACCGGGTTCGCGAAGCGGCGAAAAAAAGCGAGCTGCTTTGTGGAGACCTGCCTCCACGCTCGTCTCGATGGAGTCCATTGCAGAATTCTGAGAGCAAGATTGCGGGTCAATAAATCTCTGCAATCGACCGCCCCAGGATGGTTGCTGCTGGCATACTTATACTTGGCGCAGCAGGCGGGAGGCTGTAGCAGAAGTCCACTTGCCAACAACAGCCCAGCCTTCCTCGATCCTTTTCTACGGGTGCGTCACCTCCAAAGCGCTGTCGCGCCATGCAGTGGCAGCCGTGACATACCATCTGGCAGCAGGGCCGAATTACGAATAGGTTGCACTGGACAGGACCTCCTTCCCACAGAGGCTAAAATGAGCATTCCCACACAGGAATCGAGTGAAACTGCACTGCATTGTGCTTTCTGCACCGAATTGGGACATGGCCATGTGGCGAACTAAACATGGCTACACACTGGCTACACAAAAAGGGTCGAAAGCGAAACTTAGCTAGGAGTACATGACAGCCGAAGCTCGAAGGCTGGGAATTCAGCACGGGCTGGTGCCCTCTAGGCCCCTGCCTGCAAGAAATCACGACAACGCAGGTCATGCAAGTCCACAGGCAGAGATTCTGGGTTTAGGGTTTAGGGTTTAGGGTTTAGGGTTTAGGGTTTGGGGTTTAGGGTTTAGGGTTTAGGGCTTAGGGTTTAGGGTTTAGAGAACGATAAAGCTCGAGTTCTGCTGGCTTTGCCACACCCGACCCCTCAGGTCTCCATCACAGGCGGGTCTACGACTTGTCTCAGATCTCCCCTCCGACATTCGTGTATGTGAAACCCTTCAATCAATGAACCTAGACAAAATAGAAAGAGGATGATATAACAGATTATATATGTATATATACAGATATAATATCATGCATGATGTGTGCTGTAGTATATGAGAACCACCTTGACTCGTCGAAGATTCATCCTTGGAGCCCGGCTTTCCGCTTCTTGCCCGTCTGTTTCTCTGCCTCAAGATGCTCAGAAGCAGCTTGGTTTGGGGTTTAGGGTGTACTTGGAGGTTCA